CCACCCACCCATGCACCCACCCACCCATGCACCCACCCACCCATGCACCCACCCACCCATGCACCCACCCACCCATGCACCCACCCACCCATGCACCCACCCACCCATGCACCCACCCACCCATGCACCCACCCACCCATGCACCCACCCACCCATGCACCCACCCACCCATGCACCCACCCACCCATGCACCCACCCACCCATGCACCCACCCACCCATGCACCCACCCACCCATGCACCCACCCACCCATGCACCCACCCACCCATGCACCCACCCACCCATGCACCCACCCACCCATGCACCCACCCACCCATGCACCCACCCACCCATGCACCCACCCACCCATGCACCCACCCACCCATGCACCCACCCACCCATGCACCCACCCACCCATGCACCCACCCACCCATGCACCCACCCACCCATGCACCCACCCACCCATGCACCCACCCACCCATGCACCCACCCACCCATGCACCCACCCACCCATGCACCCACCCACCCATGCACCCACCCACCCATGCACCCACCCAACCCATGCACCCACCCACCCATGCACCCACCCACCCATGCACCCACCCACCCATGCACCCACCCACCCATGCACCCCACCCACCCATGCACCCACCCACCCATGCACCCACCCACCCATGCACCCACCCACCCATGCACCCACCAACCCATTGCACCCACCCACCCATGCACCCACCCACCCATGCACCCACCCACCCATGCACCCACCCCACCCATGCCCCACCCACCCATGCACCCACCCACCCATGCACCCACCCACCCATGCACCCACCCACCCATGCACCCACCCACCCATGCACCCACCCACCCATGCACCCACCCCACCCATGCACCCACCCACCCATGCACCCAACCCACCCATGCACCCACCCACCCATGCACCCACCCACCCATGCACCCACCCACCCATGCACCCACCCACCCATGCACCCACCCACCCATGCACCCACCCACCCATGCACCCACCCACCATGCACCCACCCACCCATGCACCCACCCACCCATGCACCCACCCACCCATGCACCCACCCACCCATGCACCCACCCACCCATGCACCCACCCACCCATGCACCCACCCACCCATGCACCCACCACCCATGCACCCACCCACCCATGCACCCACCCACCCATGCACCCACCCACCCCATGCACCCACCACCCATGCACCCACCCACCCATGCACCCACCCACCCATGCACCCACCCACCCATGCACCCACCCACCCATGCACCCACCCACCCATGCACCCACCCACCCATGCACCCACCCACCATGCACCCACCCACCCATGCACCCACCCACCCATGCACCCACCCACCATGCACCCACCCACCCATGCACCCCACCCACCCATGCACCCACCCACCCATGCACCCACCCACCCATGCACCCACCCACCCATGCACCCACCCACCCATGCACCCACCCCACCCATGCACCCACCCACCCATGCACCCCACCCACCCATGCACCCACCCACCCATGCACCCACCCACCCATGCAACCCACCCCACCCATGCACCCACCCACCCATGCACCCACCCACCCATGCACCCACCCACCCATGCACCCACCCACCCATGCACCCACCCACCCATGCACCACCCACCCATGCACCCACCCACCCATGCACCCACCCACCCATGCACCCACCCACCCATGCACCACCCACCCATGCACCCACCACCCATGCACCCACCCACCCATGCACCACCCACCCATGCACCACCCACCCATGCACCCACCCACCCATGCACCCACCCACCCAGCACCCACCCATCCCCATGCACCCACCCCACCCATGCACCCACCCACCCATGCACCCACCCACCCATGCACCCACCCACCCATGCACTCCACCCCACCCATGCACCCACCCCACCCATGCACCCACCCACCCATGCACCCACCCACCCATGCACCCACCCACCCATGCACCCACCCACCCATGCACCCAACCCACCCATGCACCCACCCACCCATGCACCACCCACCCATGCACCCACCCACCCATTGCACCCACCCCACCCATGCACCCACCCACCCATGCACCCACCCACCCATGCACCCACCCACCCATGCACCCACCCACCCATGCACCCACCCACCCATTGCACCCACCCACCCATGCACCACCCACCCATGCACCCACCCACCATGCACCCACCCACCCATGCACCCACCCACCCATGCACCCACCCACCCATGCACCCACCCACCCATGCACCCACCCACCCATGCACCCACCCACCCATGCACCCACCCACCCATGCACCCACCCACCCATGCACCCACCCACCCATGCACCCACCCACCCATGCACCCACCCACCCATGCACCCACCCACCCATGCACCCACCCACCCATGCACCCACCCACCCATGCACCCACCCACCCATGCACCCACCCACCCATGCACCCACCCACCCATGCACCCACCCACCCATGCACCCACCCACCCATGCACCCACCCACCCATGCACCCACCCACCCATGCACCCACCCACCCATGCACCCACCCACCCATGCACCCACCCACCCATGCACCCACCCACCCATGCACCCACCCACCCATGCACCCACCCACCCATGCACCCACCCACCCATGCACCCACCCACCCATGCACCCACCCACCCATGCACCCACCCACCCATGCACCCACCCACCCATGCACCCACCCACCCATGCACCCACCCACCCATGCACCCACCCACCCATGCACCCACCCACCCATGCACCACCCACCCATGCACCCACCCACCCATGCACCCACCCACCCATGCACCCACCCACCCATGCACCCACCCACCCATGCACCCACCCACCATTCACCCACCCACCCATGCACCCACCCACCCATGCACCCACCCACCCATGCACCCACCCACCCCATGCACCCACCCACCCATGCACCCACCCACCATGCACCCACCCACCCATGCACCCCACCCACCCATGCACCCACCCACCCATGCACCCACCCACCCATGCACCCACCCACCCATGCACCCACCCACCCAGTGCACACCACCCACCCATGCACCCACCCACCCATGCACCCACCCACCCATGCACCCACCCACCCATGCACCCACCCACCCATGCACCCACCCACCCATGCACCCACCCACCCATGCACCACCCCACCCATGCACCCACCCACCCATGCACCCACCCACCCATGCACCCACCCACCCATGCACCCACCCACCCATGCACCCACCCACCCATGCACCCACCCACCCATGCACCCACCCACCCATGCACCCACCCACCCATGCACCCACCACCCATGCACCCACCCACCCATGCACCCACCCACACCATGCACCCACCCACCCATGCACCCACCACCCCTGCACCCACCCACCCATGCACCCACCCACCCATGCACCCACCCACCCATGCACCCACCCACCCATGCACCCACCCACCCATGCACCCACCACCCAGGCACCCACCCACCCATGCACCCACCCACCCATGCACCCACCCACCCATGCACCCACCCACCCATGCACCCACCCACCCATGCACCCACCCACCCATGCACCCACCCACCCATGCACCCACCCACCCATGCCCCCACCCACCCATGCACCCACCCACCAATGCACACCACATTACACCCACCATCACACCACCATACACACCATGCACCCACCACCCATGCACCACCCACCCATGCACCCACCCACCCATGCACCCACCCACCCATGCACCCACCCACCCATGCACCCACCCACCCATGAACCCACCCACCCATGCACCCACCCCCCCTGCACCCACCCACCATGCACCCACCCACCCATGCAACCCACCCACCCATGCACCCACCCACCCATGCACCCACCCACCATGCACCCACCCACCCATGCACCCACCCACCATTGCACCCACCCACCCATGCACCCACCCACCCATGCACCCACCCACCCATGCACCCACCCACCCATGCACCCACCCACCCATGCACCCACCCACCCATGCACCCACCCACCCATGCACCCACCCACCCATGCACCCACCCACCCATGCACCCACCCACCCATGCACCCACCCACCCATGCACCCACCCACCCATGCACCCACCCACCCATGCACCCACCCACCCATGCACCCACCCACCCATGCACCCACCCACCCATGCACCCACCCACCCATGCACCCACCCACCCATGCACCCACCCACCCATGCACCCACCCACCCATGCACCCACCCACCCATGCACCCACCCACCCATGCACCCACCCACCCATGCACCCACCCACCCATGCACCCACCCACCCATGCACCCACCCACCCATGCACCCACCCACCCATGCACCCACCCACCCATGCACCCACCCACCCATGCACCCACCCACCCATGCACCCACCCACCCATGCACCCACCCACCCATGCACCCACCCACCCATGCACCCACCCACCCATGCACCCACCCACCCATGCACCCACCCACCCATGCACCCACCCACCCATGCACCCACCCACCATGCACCACCCACCCATGCACCCACCCACCCATGCACCCACCCACCCATGCACCCACCCACCCATGCACCCACCCACCCATGCACCCACCCACCCATGCACCCACCCACCCATGCACCCACCCCACCCATGCACCCACCCACCCATGCACCCACCCACCCCATGCACCCACCCACCCATGCACCCACCCACCCATGCACCCAACCCACCCATGCACCCACCCACCCATGCACCCACCCACCCATGCACCCACCCCACCCATGCACCCACCCACCCATGCACCACCCCCACCCATGCACACACCCACCCATGCACCCACCCACCCATGCACCCACCCACCCATGCACCCACCCACCCATGCACCCACCCACCCATGCACCCACCCACCCATGCACCACCCACCCATGCACCCACCCACCCATTGCACCCCCCCCCACCCAATGCACCCACTCCCCTTGGTGTAACAGACAGTGCAGGTGTACCAGTCAGCCAAGCAGGCCGCCAGCAGCCTGCGGCAATGGATGAAGCCCGAACGGGTGAGCCATGCCATCATGCCATGTCATGCCATGCCATGCCATCATGCTATGCCATGCCATCATGCTATGCCATGCCATGCCATCAGGCTATGCCACGCCATCATGCCATCCCATTCCATCATGCCATCCCATGCCATCACCATGCCATGCCACGCCCCTCTGCACTATGATTTGTCTCCCTTTAAACCTTTCCCACCTCGTTGCCTGCATGTCTGCACCACATCTCGGCTCGGCCCGGGTCTGCCAATCCGCGCCTGCCAGGTGTCCACCAACTTTGTCAACATGCCAGCGCGCAGTGAGATCGTCCCGGAGCCCTTCGGAGCCGTCCTCATCTTTGCTGCCTGGAACATGCCCTTCTGTAAGTCAAGCCAGTGCCTCATCTTATTTTGGAACATGCTAATGTGGCGATGCTGTCCCATGCACCCCTCTCCACCCACTAACACGCCTCCTTTTTCATATAGCAGTGCTCTCACTAGACCCGCTCATCGGGGCCATAGCAGCGAGCGAGCAACGTGGCGGTGCTCGAGCCCTCTGAGCTGGCTAGTTACGGCTCGGCTTGCTCCCTCCTCTCTCACTTGCCCCTCACCTACCCTCCCTTCCCCCCAGCCCTCAACTTCCCCCCACCCCACACCCCTTTCCCTCCTGGTTTCTACCCCCCAGTGCTCTCACTGGATCCATTGATCGGCGCCATAGCAGCGGGCAACGTGGCAGTGCTCAAGCCGTCTGAGCTGGCGCCAGCGTCGTCCGCCTTGCTAGCGAAGCTGCTGCCACGCTACGTGGACAAGGAGGCGGTCCGCGTGGTGCAGGGCGGTGCTGACGTGGCAACCGCCCTGCTGGAGTCCCGATGGGATAAGATCTTCTTCACAGGTATCCTCCTCCTTTCGGACTGACACGTGGGATGGATGGATGGATGGGTGAATCGTGAGGGTGCTTTTGACATGTCACAGTGTCTGCTGCGTGGTGGATGGATGTGGGCATGTGACGTATGCTGCATGATTCATATGCTGCCTACATCATATGTGCACTTCATATGCTGCACTGCACTTGTCTACGTTATGTACTCTACCCTGACGCCTTTCCTTCCTCTCCCCGTTACCCTCCATCATCTCGTCTCCTCCCAGGAGGAGCAGCGATAGGGCGGAAGGTGTTGGCAGCAGCGGCACAGCACCTCACGCCAGTGGCGCTGGAGCTGGGGGGGAAGAACCCCGCCTACATCGACAGCTCCGCGGACTTCAACGTCAGTTTCCATTCTACTTCTCTGACAGCTGTCACATGATGCTTCGTGTTGCAAGCTGGGTACCGAGATCTGACTGAGCTTGCCGATCTCGCTGGAGCTGGGGGGCAAGAACCCCGCTTACATCGACAGGTCCGCGGACTTCAACGTCAGTCTCTGTTTCACGTACTTCTGCTCGGACCTTTGTCTCATGCTGCTTTGTGTTATGAACCTGGGTTACGGAACCCCGCCTATATCGACATCTCCGCAGACTTCAATGTGACTCTCTGGTTTACCTCTTTTAGCGCTGTGCTGCCACGTGATGTGGTGTGGTGTGTGTGAACTCGGCTGTACTAAGCTTGGCTGCTTCGTTGGAGCTGAGCAGGGAAGGGGGGGGGTAAGAAGAAGCCACTTCGTATTCTCCTTCATTTTCCAGCACCCTGCAAGTCCGACTCTCCCCTTTCTCATTCCCACCCTCTTTCGAGTCCCCTCTCTTCTCGCCTCTTCTTCTCCTCTTGTTCTCGCCTCCTTCCACTCCAGCCCTCTGCACCCCAATCCTCCATCCCCCCTTCCACCGAATCTCCTCCCATGCAAACTCCCCCACCCCCTTTTCCCGTGCTTCAGATATGCGTGAAGAGGACATCGTTCGGCATGTGTGTGAATGCGGGGCAGAGCTGCCTGTCAACCCATGCACCCTCCTTCCATGAAAACCCCCCCATGCACCCTCCTTCCATGAACCCCCCCCCATGCACCCTCCTTCCATGAAAACCCCCCCATGCACCCTCCTTCCATGAAAACCCCCCCATGCACCCTCCTTCCATGAAAACCACCCCATGCACCTTCCATGAAACCCCCCCCATGCACCCTCCTTCCATGAAACCCCCCCCATGCACCCTCCTTCCATGAAAACCCCCCCATGCACCCTCCTTCCATGAAAAACCCCCCATGCACACCCCCCACCCTCCCTCCCTTGCGTCAGATCTGTGTGAAGCGGATAGCGTTCGGCATGTGTGTGAGTGCGGGGCAGAGCTGCCTCTCACCCGACTACGTGCTGGTCGAGGAGTCTGTGGCTGACCAATTCGTGAGTCGCGGTGCATGGGAGTGGGTGGGGGAGAGAGTTGCAATGTGTGTCAAGTCAAGGCAAGTCAAGTCAAGTCAAGTCAACCTCCACAGCTGCCTGTCCCCGACTACGTGCTGGTCGAGGGGGCAGTTGCAGATCAGTTTGTGAGTGCCTGCCTTGCATGAGACTGGGTGGTAGCAGTGCGTAACAAGTCAAGTGAAAGCTACAGAGCTGCCTCTCACCCGACTACGTGCTGGTCGAGGAGGCTGTGGCTGACCTCTTCGTGAGTGAGTGGTGGGCCAGTCCGTTTGTGGTGGGCATGAGAGTGGGTGGAGGTAGCAACAGTGTGTGGCTTGTGTGGGAGTAGCAATCAATGTTCAGCAAGTCAAGTCAAGTCAAGTCAAGGTGCAGAGCGGCCTTTCACGTGCTCGTGGTGGGATCTGTTGCCGACCAGTTGGTGAGTGGCGTCTATGACAGTGGGTGGGTGGGAGGGTGGGAGGGTGGGAGTAGCAAAGTGAGTGGCGGACCAGTTGGCGAGTGGCGTGGTGTGTGTGACTACAAGTAGCAATACACGTCAGCTCAAGCTGACTCTAGGATTGGGCCTATTCTTATCCCCATGGCGGTGACTCTCCCTTTGCACCCATTGTTGAGTTCCCTTATCCATTCTGCAACCAGCCATCCAAACACAAGCACTCACTTCCATCCCCTTGCATCCACCGTCGGCCTTGCCTCCTCATGTGTTCCCGACCCCCCTTCTTCAAATTCTCGAATTCCCCATCTCCCCAGTTTCCCAGTATTCACTTCCCCAATTCCCCAGTTCCCAGAGAAAAATTCTAACAGCACATGTCCCCCTTTGCGCCCCTGCATCCACCACCCCATTCTCTCCACCCCCGCCCCACCAGACCGACCACCTGCGTCGCACCCTGACCTCCTTCTATGGCTCGGATCCAAAGCAGAGTCCGGACCTGGCGCGCATCGCCACGCCTGGCAGCTGGGCTCGGCTGCACGCTCTGCTCTCCGACCCTGTTACCAAGGAGCACATCGTCGCTGGCGGAGAGACGGATGAAGCCACTCGGTATGTGCATGACTGTGAGCGAGGGGAAGGTGGCACTAGTGGGAGGGATTACATGGGGATGGATGGGGGCACATTGCCACTCCTGACAGCTGGCCTCGGCTGCACTGCACACACTGCTCTCCGATCCAGTCACATGGGAGCACATCGTGACTTTTGAGACGTCTCAATCTCAAAAGGCATGGGAGCACATCGTGGTGGGGCGGCAGACAGATGAGGCTACGCGGTGTGTGCTTGGCTGTTAAAGCGGGCTGATAGGGATGACAAAACGGCACACAACTGGGCGCGGCTGCATGCCCTGCCTGCTGTCTGTCCCAGTCACGGGGGAACACACTACGGTGGTTTTTGAGTCGACACAAAACGGCACACAACTGGGCGTGGCTGCATGCCCTGTCTGCTGTCTGTCCCGGTCACCAGGGAACACACCCTCGGTGGGGGGGGAGTGATGGACGAGACCACTCGGTGCGAGGGGGACACTGGGGGGGGGGGGGGGCGGCTATTTGGGGGCGAAAAGGCAGGCAGGTACGGTTGACAACACAGGACACAGCTACTGGGGAAATGGGGGAAGTGGGGAGGGAGAGAGAAGTGTTAAGGAATTGGTGAAATGGGGGAAAGGGAGTGCGGCTGGTGAAGGTTCTGCAGGATTGGCTTTCTCCTCCCCGTTTCATCCACTTGCCCGCCCCCCCTTTCTTCTCGTCTCTCTTTGAGTCGACTCGAAAACCGGCTGGTGAAGGTTCTGCAGGATTGTCTCTCTCCCCCTGTTTCATCCACTTGTCCGCCCCCTTTCTTCTCCTCTCCTTTCCGGAACGTGCTGCCCTGCTCCCCATGTCACCCCTTTCTTCTCCGCCACTCCGTGGCCCCTCGCACCCTCCATAATGCCAGCGACATGGCGCCCACCATCATCCATCATGTACCCCTGGACCCATGCCTTTCTCCCCCTCTTAATCCCTCCGCCCGCCCGTCTTTCCCCCCTCTTCTCCCCCCTCTTCTCCCGCCTCTTCTCCCGCCTCTCACCCCGCCCACCACCAGCGTCATGGCGCCCACCATCATCCATCATGTGCCCCTCGAGGCGTGTTCTCCCTCATTCCCATCCCCTCCCACGACCTTTCCCACATCCCCACCTCCAAACCCCCATTCCTCCCCCTCCAACCACAAGCTATGTCACCCCCACAATCATCCGCGATGTGCCTCTGCACGTTGTGTATCCACCCCACGGCACGACTCTCCCTCCATCCCCACATCCCAACCCCCCATCCCACCTCCATCAGCTATCTGGCGCCCACGTTCACTCGCGAGCCCCTCGACGCATGCCTTGCTTGCTTGCTTGCTCCCCCTCTCAATCCCACCTACTCCACTCATCCCCCTGCTCTCCCAACCGCACCCCACCCCTCTCGCCCCCACCAGCTACATCGCGCCCACCATCATCCGAGACGTGCCTCTGGACGCGCCAGTGATGCAGGAGGAGGGCTTTGGACCCGTCATCGCTGTCATCAAGGTGTGTGCGTAGGTGCTGTGCGGTGCAGTCAGGTGCTGCAAGGTGTTGAGGTGCATGCAGTAATGCAGGAGGAGGGCTCTGGACCCTATCATCACCGTTCTCAAGGTGTGTGCGCAGGTGCTGCCTGGTGCTGCTAGGTGCGTTGGTGCGGCAGGCAGCGGTGAAAATGCATGCTAGCAGTGTGGAAGCGACAATCGAACCATGACATGCATGCTGAATCCAGGTCCCGCAGATCTAGTAGTCACCGGCATATCATGCCGTTTCTGAGGCGCCTTTAAAATCCTCAAAAAAGAAAAAAAAAAAGAGGCGCCTCAAATCGCATGCTGAATCCAGGTCCCACAGATTTTACCATTGTCACTCTCTCGCATACCATGCCGTTTCACATTGATTCATGTCATGTACGTGCATCGAGTGATACACCCGCATCCCCACGTGTGCACAGCCGCGGGCACGCAGTCCTTGAAACGATACACTGAAAACACACAAGCTCTCTCTAGCCATGGTCACGTTTCCATCACAATCATGGGGTGCATCTCTTAAGCGCACATACCTACCAAAGTTGATGCAGGTAAGGCCTCCGCCCGCCGCAGCCCACCTGTCCAACATTGACAAGTCCGTTTCACGGGGATCCATCATGTGCATGCAGTGACACACCTCCTTCGCCACGTGTGGACCACCGAGACCACCGCAGTGATACACCTCTCCTTGTGTCCTGCTTATAACAGGGATCGTCGCTCGAGCAGGTGTCAACCAGCCCGGTGCCCACTTAGAGGCGTTTGATCGGTGTCACTCTCATCTTCTTTCACCCAGTGGTGACAAGGTGCAAGCCCTTAGAGGCTTTCGATCTTGACGTCCTTCCTTCCAGGTGCAAGGCGTGGTGATGTAGTAGACACATCATGGCTCAAGCCTCTGTTGCCCTCTGTCGATATCAAGCCCGTCCTCCCTCCCCTCCCCTCCCCTCCCCTCCCCTGCCCTCCCCTCCCCTCCCCTCCGCTCCGGAATGACGCTCTTCCAGGTGCGAGGTGTGGACGAGGCAATCAGCATCATAGCCAGCCGCCCCAAGCCACTGGCACTCTATCTGTTCACAACGCGCAGCACCGTGATCGACCGCTTTGTCAAGGAGACCTCGTCGGGGGCTGTCTGCGTCAACGACACCACCTCGCATGTGAGCATTGGGCCGCTCCCTCTCCTCTCCACGCCCTCAACTTCCCTTTTTCAGTGGTCCTTGTCTGTTTGTCAGTGTGGCGGCAGAAATAGTACCAGCTCCCTCACTCCTCCTGTATATGCGTTCCCGCTTCTGCTCCGTTCTCACTTTCATGTGCTCCTGTTTCCGACTGCACGACTCCAATTGGCTGTGCAGTTTGTCAATCCAGCGTTGCCATTTGGTGGAGTGGGAGACAGTGGTATGGGCAGCTACCATGGGAAGCACTCGTTTGACTGCTTTAGCCATCGCAAGGCGGTTATGGTGAAAGGCACCCTGCTGGACTTCCCAGTTCGATACCCTCCTGGTAGCCCGCTCAACGAGAACCTTGTGAAAGCTCTCATGAATTTGTGGTTTGTACAGCTAGTTCTAGTCATTTTAGGCCTGAAAAAGTAGCCAGTAGTTTTTACAGATTGTTCACAGAAGTTGGAAATATGTAAATAGTTACAGTTTTCCTATCGTGTGGGGTCGCCAGATTTGCTGGTACACTTTGTCCTCAGGCATCTCCATTCGGATTCGCGGGGTTCATAATCGACCAACTGAAACCAATCAAGTGTATTCAATGCGGCCACGTCAGCGTCAAGCCCATATACACCAAGCCAATTTGCCACCACCACTCAAGTTGACGGGAACGATCAACGCGTAACGGTAACGTGGTCAGCTAACTTTGCCTTTTTGTCCTGTCTCCTCCGCGTTTCTTGGAAATGAGACCGGATTTTTTTCGATCTTCAAGTTTGTCATCGTTTGATGGGTGAGGGCGCATTCTTGGCTCGTGTCTGACATGAGGTCAGACACAAAGTGAAGTTAAGGAAGACCCGAAGTGACCTCGAACTCTGGCAAATCAATGTTCGGAAGACCCGAAGTGGGCCACTTCGGGTCTTCCGAACCTCCATCCAAGCCTCCACTTCGTGTCTGACACGATGTAGGAATGCGCCCTAAGCCACAATCAAATGGTCTTGTCGGGCTGAAGAAACATCTGCTGACCATTCGTTGCCAATGCGGGCAGACCAGCGAAGCAACCAGCCTGTTGTTAAGTGCCAAATTCGCTCACTCATTCTGAAATGATCACAGCGTTGTTCCTTCTTGACACTTGTTTCTGGCATATGTGCAGAAAATGTTGCACAGAAACCGGACAGCACTCAGTGCAGCATTCGGATTTCCCCAAGAGTTTCACTGTTTTTAGCATCAGATTCACAGGGTGACTAATCGACGTTATTAACGGCATCGATTATTCCGTTCCATCCCATAGATGGCAGGGCAATACTGTGTTGTTGCCAAGATGGGCAGTGGGCAATGAGACGACGTTCCGACCCTGGAACAATCCTGGACAGTCCAGTCGACACGAGCAACTGCGGAACAGATGTTTGTGCGTGCGACCCCACCCCGTTTCATACAGACTGCTGGCCGACGAGACGACATCCTGCCCGTTTCAACAGTTTCGCGGTTGTGTCAACACCAGGGTCGCTGCTGCGAGTCAGAATCGCATGCATAAACAAATGTGGTTTCTCCAAAACTTGACTCGTCGCCTGCCTGCATAACGAAACGCAGGACGTCTTTGGTACGAGTGCACGGGACGAATTGTCAGCTCGTTACTTGTTCCGTGAGGAAGGGGGTGAATAAAAGGGGCACGAAACAGGCCACAAGCAGGTGAAGCTGTAAGTGGAAGTATTTTCAGAAATGTCAGGCGCTGGTTGGGTAAGAACACAGAGTATCCCCTGAGAACCGACCTGCGGCAACAAATTTGCAACCCATAAACGGCATCGAATTCCCAGCGTATTCTCTGTTCACACCACAATTGGCTATTTTAAATTGGGATACGGTAAGTCACAATTATGCCCGTTTTATCACGTTTAGTCACAGGGGAACCACAAACAGTCACAGTACAGTAGATTGCTATCGCGGGTGATCACAGTGCTATCACGGATGGTCACACCTCGCCCCGAAAAGCTATCACGTTTGGTCACTCGTTGAAACGGTCATTATAAGTTGAAACTACACAAGTCACTGTAGGGATTCAAGGACAGTTATCTCGCGCGCGCCGTTTTGTCCGTAGTGTCACGAAATTGTTTCGCGCACCCTCTCGGTAACTCGTTAAAATCATTTGAGATTTCTTGTTACTATTCGATTGTCCACTGTTCGATGGATGCATAATGACCCTAAAATATCACTTTAGATGGGTGAAACTCGTAGGGTTGCATTTTTTGTTCCCAAGACTAAAAAAACTAAAACCCGTTCCGATGGGATTTAATTCGGGATGCATCAACCCTAAACACCTTGTCGCATGGTGTTTAGGGTTGATGCCTCCCAATGGGCGTGCCATCCTTTAGGGGTTTATTTTTTTCTTCATTCCCCTAAATGTCGGGCTAGAATTTTGCGCGAGGTGACAAGCAATGAAGGTTGGGATTCCCCAGAATTTCTACAGTTAATTTTGTGGTTTCAAATTAATTATCCTCGTTTCATCGAGTGACCAAACGTGATAGCTTTCTCGGGGGAGGTATGACCATCCGTGATAGCACTGTGATCACTCACGATAGCAATCTACTGTACTGTGACTGTTTGTAATTCCCCTTTCACCAGTCGTGATAAAATGGGCATAATTATGACTGCCCGTATAATTTCCCTTTTAAATTTCCACCCTCGTGACTGCCCGTTGGTCTCTGACGATTTCCGTCGTCTGCGCGTTATTCGACTCTTTGACCTTTCCCAAGGGCTCGCTCCGCGCCAGTCTCAAGCTTTTGAAACGAGGCTTTCAGCAGTTGGAAAACTCAATGCATTCGCACAAACGATAACACACAGGTAAGGTGAAGGTGAGGTTATGGGGAAACCCCCTTGGTATTACCCCGGCCGTCGGTCGTAACCCGCCTACCCATTTGTTTACACGCCTCGCTGGGTATCGAGGTTGTTGTATCCACTCCCAGATGAGCACCTAGTGTTACCCTGTATAACACACAGAGTGAGAAATCTAAGAGTCAACCATTCGTGCTTCGAAAAAAACTTCCATCTCGAGCGTTGAATATCACTTGAGCAAAGAGTGTCTACGCAAACACGCCCTTCGGGGGCAAACAGCTGTCAAACGGGGTTTCGAGGTGTGGATTGCGTGGGCAAGCACAACATGGCAGTTCAGTTCAGTTCGGCTTCTTCTCATTTTGCTGATTAAAAAGCTTGTCAACGGCAGGCTGTCACTATCGTCGCACCCTTCACTTCAGTAGACCCTGCCGCCTGCGTTCCAGAGGGTCAGACGACCTTTATCCGTCACCCGCATTGTAGTCTCGAAAGGAAGCGCTTCCAAATTCCGACATATTATGCAACCCTATTTTGAGATTAGCCTTCGTTCCAGAGCACGCCCATTCGCGGCCAGACCTGCTTGGTTGCAAGCAACTGCACATGTCTGTTCCGGCTCGCCTTTACAATAACCGTCGATTCGTGTAGTTCCCTTCACGTCGTTTCCATCAGGTGAGCTCCATTCACGGGATTCTTCGCCGCATTGCGTGCTACGAGCCGCCTCGCACTAGCTGCTTCTCGCCTTTCTTCAAAATGCGCTGACGCGGCATTGCGAGACTGGTATCACCTCCTGTTGCCTTTTTAGTAAACTCAAAAGTCGACTAGCATCGCCTCCTGTTGCCACCGTATTCTCCGTAACCGCCTCGTTTCGCCATGGCCTCGCAACAAGGCAACGCACCGCTTTCGCCAACGCGCGCGATGTCGCCGAAGCAGCAGGTACAGTCGCACAACCAGCTCGTCGCTCGGCTCCAGTCGCCCTCCGCCGACCCCGCCTCCCTTCCGCCCTCCTTCCTCAAATACCCCATCGCCCATCTTCGCTCCAAGAATGTCACCATCCCCGCGGATTTCTTCTGCCCCATTTCGCTCGACATAATGCGCGACCCGGTTACCGTCGCGTCGGGCCGGACATACGAGCGCGCCGAAATCGAGCGATGGTTTCGCGAAGGAAATCGCTATTGTCCGGCTACCCGCTGCGCACTCGAAGACCTGCATGTCGCCCCTAACAAATCCCTTCGCAGCATCATTTCCGCCTGGTGCCTCGGACATGGCATTCGCCTCTCTGCTACCCCATCCGCCGCCGCCGCCGGCGGTGGAGGTGGGCACGCGAAGGAGGGCAGCGGAGAACTTATTCAGAATGCCGCTGGCGGAAAGCCTGGCGGGGACGCGGGCTCCGCGCATCCCACCATCTCCCCGCGCGGGGTGCTGACTCCCCGCAGCGACTCCTACACTGGCCGCGGAGAGCAAGCCCCGCGCGCGGAGCGTTCCGCCTCGCGCGGCGAGTCGTATCCCGCGCGGCCCCTGACCGGGGACAGTTACGAGGCATCTCAAAGGTCGGCGAGCCCGCTGTCGGGGGAGCGCCACGCGGAGCCTTACTCCGCCCGCCCAGCCTCGGGGGAGCGGCACCAGCGGCGCGGAAGCGTGTCATCCGATCGGGAGAGCGGAAACCTCAGCAGCGGCGGAAGCAGCACCACCAGCGGCGCAAGCAGCGGCAGCATCAGCCTCGTGTCGAACAGCAGCGCCAGCAGCGGCGGGGGCGGCGGGAGAGCAGGCGGAGGGGGAGGCGGAACCGGAACCGGCGGAAATAATTTCTGGCGCAGCGCGTCGTCTTCCGATCGTCCGCTTTGCCCCATCTGGCCCGTGTCGTCCCCGCTCGCCTCCCCCACGCACTCCCCCACCCGCGCCGGCGCGGCGCTCAGTCCCTCCACCGCCTTTACCGGCGGTGGTAATAGCAGCAACCCGCAGCTTAGCCCCACGCATCCCGGCTTTAGTCCGACTTACCCCGCCGTTAGTCCGACGCGGCGCGGCGCGGCGCATAGCCCGACTAGCTCCATGCAGCTGAGCCCCACGCGCGCGCCGCTCAGCCCGATCCCCGCTTATCACGGCGCGGGCGACGGCGCGCACGACTCGTGGAACGACTGGAACCACTACCCGGGCCGCGACGAGTGGAGCGGCCCGCAGCCGCGCCGCGTCGACTGGTCCGGGCCGCAGCCGCGCCAAGCGTCGCGGACCGGCGGGGCTGCGGCAGCGGGGGGAGGCCGGACGGGGTCAGGAGGAGGAGGGGGAGCGGGAGGGGGAAAATCGGCCGGCGGGAAAGTGGGGCCCAGCGGGCGGGGGGCTCTAGGGCCAGCGGGTGGGGGAATTGGCGGAGCAGGTGCGCGGGCGGGGGCCCAGGGGGGCACGGGGGGCGTCGGGGGCGGCGGAAGCAGCCAGCAGCAGCAGGTGGTGGCGGCGGCGCAGCAGCGGTTCTTCTCGGAGCGGCTCGACCGGCACCAGCTGGCGCTGCTGGCGGCGTGGGACGACGACAGCGACGCGGAGGGGGGAGGCGGCGGGAGAGAGGGGGAGCGGGAGCGGGAGAGAGAGAGGGAAAGGGAGCGCGAGCGGGAACGGGAGAGGGAGCGGGAGAGGAGTAGCCAGCAGGTTTTGGCGTATTTGGCGCACAGCAGGAGCGGCAGCAGCGGCGGCGGCGGCGGTAGTGGGGGAGGGGGAGGGGGAGGGGGAGGGGGCGGGGGCGGGCGGAACGCGCTGAGCAATGCGGGGAAGAGCTACAGCATGGGCGAGCCCGTGTCGCTCGTCCCCAGCTCCGCGCCAATGGCTGTAGGCGGCGCTGGCGCTGCTGCAAGCAGAGACGCTAGAATCGCGTATGGCAGGTCGGTCTCGTCGAACCGCATCTCCTCGCCGCAACTCGCGGGGATCAGCAGCAGCGGCGCTGCTGGTAGCGGCGTTGGGGGGGGCGGGGGAGGGCACGCGGCGCGCAGTGCGCGGGGCGGGGAGGGCATTCGGCAGACGCACCACTCGCACAGCCACAGCCACTCGTCGCTCTCCGCGTTCGCCTCCCCCCTCACTGCTGCCGCCGCCGCCGTCACCTTCGGCGCCAGTCCTCCCCCCAACCCGAGCTCACATCTGAATTTAAATCTAAATCCAAGTGTAGATCCGGATCTGAATCCGAATCTGAATGCCAGCGCGGCGGTCATGATGATGGGGAGCAGGGGGGGCGGGGGGTCGGTGGGGTGCGCGCCCATGGGCGCGCGGGGGGATGGGGAGGCGGAGGAGGGGGAGGACGGGGAGGAGGAGGAGGAGGACGGCGCAGCAGGGACGCTTAAGCGGTGGGCTACCAACCCCACTGATAGGTCTGGCGGCAGTATGAGCAGCAGTGGCAGTGTGGGGGGGAGTGGGAGTGTGGGTGGGGGTGGGGGGGGCAGCAACAGCAGCAGGAGGCCGTGTAGTGCAGGGGCGGGTGGAACAGGCTCGGGGGGTTCCGAAGCAGATGCCGCCGCGGCTCGGGTGGACCAGGAGGAACAGGTCCGGGCCAGGCTTCCGGATCTGGTTCGGCAAATGCTGGGCGGCAGCGCGGGCGGCAGCAACACCGGCAGCGAGGCAGCCTCAACGTTCCTAACCATACAGCGGCGAAGGGCAGCCGAGGAGGTTCGGCACCTGGTTCGGGACTCCCGAGGCAACCGGGCAGCCGTGGTGGCAGCAGCGGGAGGCCGAGCCATCCCGGCCCTGCTCTCTCTCTTCCCATGCGGCGATCCCGATACTGTAGAGCACGCGGTTACCGCCATTCTCAACCTTTCCCTCTCCTCCTCCACTCACTCCCACCTCATCACTCACGGTGCCGTCCCCCGTCTGGTAACCATAGTGACAGCTGGAAACAGAGACACGGGAATGAATGCCGGGGCGGCAGACCCGGACATGCCGCCGAGCCTCTCGCCTCGCTCCGTCTCCCGAACCGCGCGGGAGAACGCCGCTGCGGCTCTCTTTGCGATATCTGCCTCCTCCGAAGCGAATAAAATCCTCGTAGGGTCGACGCCAGGTGCCGTGACGGGATTGGTCGCCATGCTGGCCGTCTCCTCCTCCCCCTCCGGCTCCCCCAACTCCATCCGCAGCCGAAAAGACGCCGCCCTCACCCTCTTCAACCTCTCATTGGCCGAGAAAAACCGGGCAGCAATAATTTCCGCCGGGGCAGTTCCCCTATTGGTGGAGATGCTGCAGGAGTACGGGTCCGGGCTGGAGGAAAAAGCCACGGCTGTGCTGGTGAACCTGGGGAAAACCGGGCGGCTGGGGCGGGCGGCGATCCGGGCGGCGGGCGGGATACCGCTATTGGTCGAGGCGATGGAGTGTGGGTCGGAGAGGGGGAAAGAGGACGCGGTGGCGGCGCTGCTGATGCTGGCTGAGGACCCCGCATTGAGAGATGAGATTGCCGCGGAGGGGGTGCTTCCCACATTGGGTGCCTTGCAGCGGTGCGGGACGCCAAGGGCACGAGTGAAGGTGAGTTGTTGATAGGGGACTTGGGGGGGGGGGGGGGGGGGGGATGTAGGAGGGGTGCTGACGCTGGCGCAGGTGATACTGAGACTTGTCATAAACCACCTGCAAGCAACGTGAAGGTGAGTTGAGGTGGAGGCAATGGAGTGTGGCGTGGTGTGGGTCGGAGAGGGGCAAGGAGGAACTTTTGAGTCGACTCAAAAGTCAACTCGGCGTGGTGTGGGTCGGAGAGGGGCAAGGAGGAAGCGGTAGCAGCGCTGCTCATGCTGGCTGAGGATTCAGCGTTGAGAGATGAGATTGCGGCTGAGGGGGTGCTGCCCACTCTGAGTTTGCTGCAGCGCTGGGCACGCCGCGAGCGCGAGTGAAGGTGAGTTGTTGTTGGTCAAGTGGGGTGGGGAAGGGCACTGCACGGGAAGGGTACAAGTGGGGAAAGAGGACGCGGTGGCAGCGCTGCTCATGCTGGCTGAGGATCCAGCATTGAGAGATGAGATTGCGGCTGAGGGGGTGCTGCCCACTCTGGGAGCATTACAGCGCTGTGGCACGCCAAGGGCACGGGTCAAGGTGAGTTGCTGTTTGGTGGCGGCTGGGAAGGGTGCTGGGTCAAGGTGAGTTGCTGTTTGGTGGCGGCTGGGAAGGGTGCTGCTGCTGACTTTGAATCTTCAAAATCTACCTGCAAGCAACGTGAAGGTGAGTTGAGGTGGAGGCAATGGAGTGTGGCGTGGGTCGGAGGGGGGCAAGGAGGAAGCGGTAGCAGCGCTGCTGATGCTGGCTGAGGACCCGGCATTGAGAGATGAGATTGCCGCGGAGGGGGTGCTGCCACGTGGGTGTGCTGCAGCGGTGTGGGACGCCGAGAGCGAGAGTGAAGGTGAGTTGTAGCTGGGAGGAGGGATGGGGAGGGGTAGCACCTTTGCTGGCGGAGGATCCGGCGCTGAGGGATGAGATCGTGGGGGAGGGGTGCTGCCGACGCTGGGAGGGCTGTAGCGTTGTGGCACACCGCGAGCACGCACGGGTGAAGGTGAGCTGGTGATGATTCAGGGTACTGCTGGGAACGGGCACCAGGGGAAAATGTGGTGGCGGCGCTGCTGATGCTGGCAGAGGACCCGGCGCTGCGAGATGAGATTGTGGCGGAGGGGGCTCTGCCGACACTGGGTGTGCTGCAGCGGTGTGGGACACCGCGAGCACGAGTGGAGGTGAGCTGGTGATTGGGGACGGGGGGATGGGGAAGGGTGTTGATGCTCCCGGCGCTGCGAGATGAGATCGTGGGGGAGGGGGTTCTGGCCACGATGGGGGCGCTGCAACGCTGTGGCACGCCCTGGGCACGGGTGAAGATGAGTGGCTGATGGGAGGGGGTTTGGGGAAGGGTACTCGTACTCATGCTGGCAGAGGGCTCGGCACAGTGAGATGAGATTGAGGGGGAGGGGGTGCTGTCGACTCTAGGGGTGTTGCAGCGCTGTGGCACTCCGCGAGCAAGAGTGAAGGTGAGTTGTTGATAGGAGGGGTTGGGGTGGGTGAAGGTGCTGAGCTGATGCTGGCGGAGGTGAACTGAGAAGTCTCAAAATCCACCCGCAACGTGAAGGTGAGTTGAGGTGGAGGCGATGGAGTGTGGGTCGGAGAGAGGGAAAGAGGACGC